AACGGGCCAACAGTTTTAACTGTTAACAGAAACTGTTAAAATTGTGACACGAAATGTATTACGCTTCTGGCAAGACATTATTGACCCCATAAATTATACAATTATATATTCTTGATCAGTAAATCATTGAGATAAATACGAGACTAAAAGTAGAGTTTTCAGTAATTGCATAAGGAAAAAACGGGCGACGGAAAATTGAGTTTTTGCATGGAAAACTTTTTTGTTATTTTAAATATCTTGACCATACTCGGCATTTTTAGATCTCACTATGCCTCCTACATTAAAGCAAAATCTTATTTAGATAGGACCACTATATCATATAGCTGCCATAGGAACAATCGGTCGAAAAGTAGGTTCTTATATGAACAACTTTTATGTTTATCAAGATATCTTGACCAAACTCGGCATTTATTGGTTTTACTATGCTTCTCGCATATGTGCAATATCCAAACAATATCGTACCACTATATGATATAGGTGCCATAGGAACAATCGGTGGAAAAGTAGGTTCTTGCATAGAAAACTTATTTGTTTATTGACTAGGGTGCTGGTTATTGAAAATTGATTACTCCATCTAAAAATATTGAGCTATTCCTGTTACTCATCCTCATCCGAATGTAACTAATTACAGTAGGGGTTGCCCTCGCTTGAAGAGTTCGCTCATTGGGAGTTTGGACGCGGCGACAGGCTGGCCGCCAGGTCCCAGTCGCAGTCCCAGCGTCGCCACTGCTTGCTTTCCAATTGGGGGAGAAAGTACGCGCAAAGAGCTGAAAGTGGATCAGCGACAGCAGCAGCAGCAAAAAAAAAAAAATAAAATAATAATAAACGTAACCAAACCGCGTGGCAGCATCGCGTGAGCCCCAGACGCAGATGCAGCCACCGCAACAACAACAACAACGACAACGACGACGACGACTCCTACAAAGATGCCAAGCTGTCGAATGAAAGCCCACGCGAATGCGTCGTCCGGCTGCCTGTGTTGCATCCTCAGTGCAGCAGCCATTAAACTGGCAGCTAACCAAACGCCAACAGTTCGTGTCTGCATAATCACGGTGCGCACTCCGGCGCACAATTCAATTGATTTTCCATGTGACGCAGCAAAATTTGTTTGCCGGGCCGTGCCGCTTGTTGTTAGACGCTTGATCAACAGTCTGAGAAGCGCGTAGAGAGGCTGACAGTCGGCAGCCGCTACTTGAACGAGGGTTGCTCCTTAAATAAATCGATAATTAACTAATCGATAACATATTGAATTGCAATTATATTCCAAATCTATATCAGTTTCTTCGAAACGTTATTTTTTCCAAGGATATGCTGTAGACCCTGATATCTTTAAGTGAGTCGAGGCAAAGTTAGTCAAAAAAGACTTGAATAAAGATAGAATTGAAAATTTAATTAAAAGAAATTTCCGACTAAAATATACCCTGTACCCAGTGCCGATCTTCCATTACAAATATGCAAGCTTCTTTCCTTAGCCCCTTTAAATAGTAAACCGATAAGAACTTTTTCTTTGTCTTGAAGGTTATCAGCTCAATTGTCTGCATGCCAATGTAAGCTGTTCTTGCAACATTTTGGCAAACTTTAAAGTGTAGTTAAATAATAATTGCTTGCAATGGCTTGGCTGCTGAATAAACGACCCTCGTGTGCTTCTGCAGTCGTCGCAGTCGTGGGGCCACTTAACACTCAAGACTGGGGACAAGAGATTCGAGACTCGAGACTGTGGACTGGAGATTGCAGCCTCGTTGCATGAAAAATGCTGTTCAACTGGTTTGTCTGTTGCTTGAGTGTGTGTGTGTGTGTGTGTGCGGAGTGCACCTTAAATTCAGTTTCATTATTATGATTTCAATGCAAGATTGGGTCTCAGTTGTGGCATCGACAACACGGCGGGCAACGCCATTGAACATTGGCAGTCATATCTGCAGTTGGTTGCAGTTGGCTGTTGCCACAAGACAAAACAAAAAAGTGGTGCAAATGAAACGGGTTATCTAATTGCGGCTCTCTCAAAGTGTGGCAAGTGGCGAGTTGACTTTTGTTTTCTATTCGGAGCAGGCCTCCGAATCTCCTACGACTCCAACTCCATCGTCGCACATGTTGTGCATACAAAATGTTGACTCTAGCCGGTCGGTTAGGGGGAGGGGTAGGGGAAGGGTCGGGTCGGGCGGGCGAGCGACGAACCGGCGATCAGGCTCCTCGGCTGGCGCTGTTAATCGCACCAAATTTCAATTTGAATTTCACTTTCTTTTTCGATACGCTCACTTGGGTTTTTGCCTTTCGAACTTTTGTTTTTTTTTTTTGTTTTCTTCTTTTTTTTTTTCTTTTATTTTCTTTTGTTTCGGCGCGCAGGCAACGACCATGAAAAATGTTGTAGAAAGGGCTCTGGCAGCCATATAAAATTAATGTCTTGTTATACAAAAAGATCAGATCAGATATGGGTTATATAAAAGTCAGATAGATGGCAAGCGAATGATATTACGCGCAGAGTCTAGTATCTAGTATCTAATAGAAAGCGCTGCGATAGTGCTCAACTTTAGAGAAGATCTGAACTTCGTCGTATATAACTATTTCACGAACTTTAAAAAAATAAGTGTATAAGATATAATCTATATACTTTACAACTATAATGGCATTATAATATAATTGATCTATAATATATTGTCATGAAATGTGTAATGTCTTCTATTATTTTCGACCCAATAAAGAACATATATTCCTCAGTTGATACAGCCAGGTTTCTATCTGTTTCTATGCCAAATAGTCTCTCAGCTTTTAAGTTATCATCATGAAATGGCTTAAAAGATTATTGTATGTAAGCTTTTTTTGTTGTATATGATATTATGAAGAAACTCGGCATTTGTAGGATGGATCCATTATATCATATTGGAAAGAATATTAAGTGCTTACATAAAAACGCGTTTGCTTATCCAAATTCTTAATTCAAAGTTGGTTTTTTTTTTGTTCGTTACGTACTAGCAACAATCTGATCAACATCGAGCATTCTTCCAAAAGCTCAAGAACCCTAATCTAAGAAGATATGAATAATGTTCCTTGTTCGGGTAAAGGTACTTTTATCGCAGCTGTACGTTTTGTATCTAACAGATGCAAAGCAAGCTTTCAGCTTCTTTTTTTTTAATTTCCAGCTCTTCAATTGGAGAATACATCTTTAAAGGCGTGACACATGCTTTACAGTAGCAAAGCATTCTTTAAAAAAAATGAAAACAGCTGTTTGAAGTTTCTTGCTTTTTTTTTTAGCACGTTCGTAAATGTCAGTTGTGAATTATATATTTGACAGTTTTGTAGCGCATTTATCCTAACAGAAGTCGTTTTGGCTTTTTCGACCGTATGAGCTGTCAATTTACACTCAATTAACCCCCCCCCCCCCCCCCCCCCCCCCCCGTGTACGCTTGCTGCTTTAACTAATTTTCTAACCAAAAAAAAGAAGTTTGCCTATTTTTTTTTTCCGTTTCACGGCGATTACTCATATTTAAGGTAAAATGATTATTTTGCCGCTCGCTCCGCCCCCCTTGCCCTGCCTAGAAACTGAGTAAAATAGTTGGCATTGAGTTTGTTGCCTAAGTCTTTTGTCAATCTGTTTGTTTTTTTTTTTTTTTTTATTAAGTTTCTATTTACATTTCTATACACCCAACAAAAACATAGTTTCTTTTTTCGTTATTAAATAATTTGTTGCACTTTGTGAAACAATAAAAAAAAACCAAAAAAAAAAAAATATACAAAAAAAAAAGTAAATTGTACAAGAAGAAAAACCAGAAAAAGAATCGACTCCACAACAAGCTGCACAATTAAAATGCAATGAAAATTTTGTTAATGTTATATCGTTAGAAGCTGTGTAAACGAACGAAAGGCAATAAGACCTGAGCTGAAACAAAAAGCAGTCGCCCAACAACGACAGAAACAACAACAAAATTATGAAAAATCACAAAATTTATTAAACAACAACAAAAAAAACAAAAAAACAACAAAAAAAAACCAACAAAAAAATAATAATAATAGTGAAAGTTTTTCATCGTCGCTCGGCCGACGTTTGCACAAAATTAACAGAAAAGCGAAATACGAAAAACAATCGTTTCCCAAAGCAAAGCAAAACAAAACAAAATACAAACTCACACACACACACACACACACACACACACTTAAGCACGCACACGAGCGTACACGCACACAACCTCAACCTAGGCGAAACGAAGGCGAAAAAAAAGGAACAACAACTGCGCTGCACAATCGGAAGAGTTGATTGAGCGCGAAGAGCGCGCGCGATCAGCTGCTGAGCAATAACAAGAGAGCAATTCCAGCAGAGAGAGCGCCCCTCGCACGCACACACACACACACACACACACAGAAACAGCTACAGGCTAAATCACGCGCACACGCACACACACTTGCGCAAAATAGGCAGGCGATAATAAACGGCGAAATAACGGCGACATCCCCAAAGAAAATGTTGTAAGCCGCTGCAGCAGCATATAAGCAACGGCAAAAGAAGCAGCAGAGTGGGACGCCAACAAAAACGGCTAACAACAGGATTGGTGGCGGCGGCGGCAACGGCGGCGGTGTGGCACGCTGTGTCGTTGCCCGCCCACACCCGCACCCAAAGCCACAAACAACTCTGTGCACCCAGGCGCATGTCGCCAGCAGTTGGAGAAACCCAGGTAGAGTGCACACAAAAAAAAAAAAAACCAAAAAAAAAAACCTAAAATAAAATAGGCAACAAGCCGAGCAGCGACGCCGCCACCTGCGAACCGAAGGCGGAAGCTATTTGATTGCTTTTGCATGTCACTTTCACCGATCCGAACAACAACAACAACGAAGACGTGACCGCAGTGTGTCAGTGGGGTGTGCTGACAGAGCGTGTGTGTGTGTGTGTGTGTGTGAGTGCGGGTGTGCGGATGCTAATTTCATAATCGCCACTTTAACATTATCTGCCTGCCTGCCTGCTTGCCATTTCATTGAATATGCCACTAACGTTTGCTCTCTTTTTCTTTTTACAGTTACCGTCAACCCACCGCCCCAACGGCCATGGCTGCCGCTCGCCAAGCCCAACAAATCGCGACCAGCCTGTAAGTAACTGTAAATCATACGATAAGATATAGGCGAAAAATAGGGTTATTTGAAAGCTCTGGCATGTGCAATTGTGTGTGTAACCGAATGCGCCGGCTTTTAACAGTTTTTCATGTTCCCACATTTCTTTTTATCCCGTAGGAGCTTATTCTAAATTTGATTAGGGTAGCTTTCGATTTCGTATTGTCTGTCATGTTGTCTCTAAGCATCGATCTCAAGATTGACAAAATAAAATGTGCCATATCCTTAAATGGGGTATTTTAGATGAAGCTCTAATTTCTGTTAATTGCTGTTTAGCTGTTATGTTATTTCTGTTTAGCTCTGTTATGTTATTGTTTGTTATAAGATGGAGTTCTAATTTCTGTTAACTGTTTAGCAGTTATGTTATTTTTGTTTAGCTCAGTTATGTTATTGTACGGTATGTTAACTTTTAATCGAAACTATGAAGAATTTTCGAAAGTTACTTTTTGTCGGCCTCACCCTTCGCAAATAATATATATATGTATATATTATTTTAGACACGGTGCTAAAGTCAGTTTAAAAGTGGATTTATTAAATTTAAGGCCAATACTTGAGCTGTGGTTACAGGATACAATTTTTTGGTTTTTCACAACTGTTAATATATTTTGTTTATCCTGCAGGCATATTTACGGTGATGTGTTACAATGTGCTCTGCGATAAATATGCGACGCGACAAATGTACGGCTACTGTCCGTCGTGGGCCTTGTGCTGGGAGTATCGGAAGAAGTCAATTATCGACGAGATACGTCATTATGCGGCGGATATAATAAGCTTGCAGGAGATCGAAACGGAACAGTTTTATCACTTTTTCCTGCCCGAACTGAAGAATGATGGCTACGAGGGCATCTTCTCGCCCAAATCGCGCGCCAAGACAATGTCCGAACTGGAACGCAAATACGTTGACGGATGTGCGATATTTTTCCGAACATCAAAGTGAGTTTAGCTACAAAACAGATTCGATTCGGTATTGATAAAAGTATTTACATTTGCTTGCAGATTCACGCTAATCAAGGAGCATCTGATCGAATTCAATCAGCTGGCCATGGCCAATGCGGAGGGCTCCGACAACATGCTGAATCGTGTGATGCCCAAGGATAACATTGGCCTGGCGGCTCTGCTAAAGGTGAAGGAAACGGCCTGGGAGCCAATGTCCGAGGTGACACAGATCTCACAGCCGCTGCTCGTGTGCACCGCGCACATCCACTGGGATCCCGAATTCTGTGACGTCAAGCTCATACAGACCATGATGCTGAGCAACGAGCTGAAAACGATAATTGACGAGGCCAGCCACAGCTTTCGACCCGGCCACAAGAATGACTCGAACAGCGTGCAGCTGTTATTATGCGGCGATTTCAATTCGTTGCCCGACTCGGGCGTTGTGGAGTTTCTGGGCAAGGGGCGTGTTGCAATGGACCATTTAGACTTTAAGGACATGGGCTATAAGCTGTGCCTGCAACGCTTGCTGTCCAACGATACCAACGAGTTTACGCATTCCTTCAAATTGGCCTCCGCCTACAGCGAGGACATAATGCCGCACACCAACTACACCTTCGATTTTAAGGGCATCATCGATTATATTTTCTATACAAAAACGGGCATGGTGCCTCTGGGTCTGCTCGGACCGGTATCCACGGATTGGCTACGCGAAAACAAAGTGGTTGGCTGTCCACATCCGCACATACCCTCCGATCATTTTCCGCTGCTGGTCGAGCTGGAGCTGATGCACACCGCCAGCCAGCAGGCGCCTCCCAATGGACTGATCAATCGACGGTAGCAATAGACACGGCGCGCTAGGCCAACGATAACGGTGACAACAACAACAACAACAACCAACATTCGGACGGCCTCTGGCAGCGGCGGAACGCTGCCGCAGTTCAGCTATCGGGGACGCAGCAGCAGCGGCAATAGCAACAGAAACAACAGCAACAACAACATTAATCAAAGCAACAACAACAATAACAACAACAACAACAACAGCAGCAGCCTCCGCCCAGCTACACATGGATCATTTCGCAAACCTCCAAACAATCCAACATTATGAGGAGCCCAAAAGCATATATATTTTTCCCATCAATCACCAATGTGGGCGCCGCTCATTATTAATTCAGTTTATAGTTTAGTTCTGATTCTGGCTTGATTTCCAACCCATGAGTTCTAAGATGACGATGTTGTAGAGAGGATCCGCTACTTTGTGCGCTGGCTCAAACCCCAATCCGTGAAACCATCCCCAAGTTCAACTTCCAGCGATTATGCCATGGAATAGGGAGAGGATCTATAGACGCGCACGAAGCAGCGGATAGGATTTACATACACACACATACAATTAACTTGCTGCTCTTACACGCCGCGTTTCTCGTTCTATTTTATCATTTTTAATTTCAGTTTTAGCATCGAATAAACTATATAAATACACATAATTAAATTACGTTCTTGTAGACGACAACATTATGATACATGTAGCATATTTCATAAGCTCTGACTAAAACACAATACAACAAAAACAAATACAAAAAACCAAGCTACTTTTAAGTAAAAAATGCAAGAATATAACTATTTTGTAAAGAATAAGCAAAAAACACACACACACAAAACACAAAACCGATTCAAAAATACAATTGATGATAATTTTCAAAATTGCCTTAATTCGCAAACAATATCTGGGCCACGTTCATAATAAACCTATATATATATATATATAAATAGACACGTTTAAGGAATAAATAGTACATAGTTGTTGTAGCTCCGCGTTCTGTACACACACCCGAAACCTTCATACTATATCGAGATTTAAGCTCCATTTACAGTCTGCAATTTTGAACTAAGATGTAACAATAAGAGCCTAAGATAGACAGACAGACAGATAGTTGACAAGGACAAAAGATATATAAATATTTATAATACAAACTAAATGAGAGCAGCAACAAATTCTAAATATTGTTAATCCAGCATAGTATCGTATAATCAAAGATCAACACCAAACGAGCAGCATACGTACAATTTTAAAAGATACCAATTACAAATTTAGCAATAATAACAAACAAAACGAAAAGTGCATTAAGATACAAAATGAAAAATCGGTTTGACAGCAAATATTGAATATAAAGTGTATAAATACAGACAGAAATCAAATTTAGAAATTTTCAATCGTCTTGCGGCAAAACTCTGTTAAATGAATAACAGATACAAAAATAAAAAAAAGACTAGATTAAAAAGCAAACAAACAATTAATAAAACGTTTAATTTAATGTATATATATATATATAAAATGCCGCTTATGCCAACTAGGTTGTGATCTGCTGCATCATCTCTTCGTGCTCTGTGGCCACGGGAAAGGCGTCACCAATCGCATTTGCTGCAATTAGCTTGCTATGGATAGCTCCCCAGAGTTGGGGATTGCCATGCTCCAGAGTCGACATGCTGCCCATCATGTAGAGCGCCCAGCGGGCACGCGATAGGGCGACACAAACACGATTTGGCTGACGTAGAAAGCCAATCTGCCCAGCCGGATTGCTGCGCACCAGCGACAGCAGCACAATGTTTGCCTCCAGGCCCTGGTAGCTGTCCACAGTTGTAACCAAAATGTTTTCGATCTTAGCTTTTCTGAGCAGTGCTTTAATATGTTCAACTTGAGCATTGTAGGGCGTTAGAACGACAATGTTTTTGCGTTCCTTTTTCAAGCTTACAGCTAGTTTCACCAACTCCTTGGCCTCGTGCTTGTTCACAAAGGACATGTTATTCTGAAAATAATAAATATTTGATTGCAATCATATGTACGAAATGCATTTTACCCTACCAGCTGCTGCTCGGGTTGCGCGTGACTGACAAAGTACATGTTGGCCGCCATGCCGGACACATTACGATAGACTCTCACCGAGTCGTCACTGATCAATTCGTCATAGAAGATGGGCACCAGGAGCTCAGCAATACAGGTGCGCATGCGATACTGGACGTTTAGCACGCTGGCGGGAAACTTATGCGTAATCAGACGCTCGAAGAGGGACACCTGTAGGCCCTGTTGCGTATAATTGCCCGTATGCGGCTGCAGCTGCTTGTGATCGCCGATCAATATGACGTGCTGCGTGTAGGGCGTCAGGCAGGCCAGCACATGGGATTCAGCTATCTCGCCGGCCTCCTCAAAAATGAAGCACTTGCTCTGCAGCAGACGAAACAAAAAGTTATGCCTTGCCGCGCACGTCGTTGTCATCGCCAACAGAGCTTTGTCACGAGCCTGATAAAACTGAAATATTGTGCGCAGGGTGTTCAACTTTTCCGCCACACCGTGCAGCTGCTCCAGTTCCAATTGGATTGTCACATGGGCCGACTCGCTGCCATCGAAGTCCGCATGCAGAGCCTGCAGTCGCTTGAACTGTTCCCTATACTCACACTTGGCCAGCCACCAAAGGTGTTTGATGCGCGGCGGCATCGGATCATCGGACATTGTTCGCACATTGAATTGCTCGATTTGGGGCATACGCGACTGAAAGCCAAAGCGCAGAATGCTGCTCGTGTGCTGCGCGGCCTTTAACAGGAACTTGTCCAGCGAGTCGTTGGTGTAGGTCAGCACAATAATGGGTCCAGTGCCAAGCTGAGCGGCATTCTGCAGCAGCGTCTTGACCAGCTCAACGGACAGATGTGTCTTGCCTGTGCCGGACGGGCCTTGTATCAGGCTGAATTCCATGCAGAGCGCAGCGCCAAAAGCCGCTCGCTGCGAGTCATTCAGCTTCGTCTCCACGGGCGGCTTAGCTGCCGTAAATGGCTTGCCATTATGCATTAGCTGAACGTCTGGTCCAATGTAGGCGGGCGGCCGTACATCAAGCTGTCCTTCGACAATGTACCGGCACATGGGAAAGTTATCGGCGCTGCAGGTGCTCAGATAATTGTGGACACGCAGATACGGCTCAAAGAACGCCGGCGTCTCGAACATGATTAACGGCCTGCCGTATATATTGCCAATATTGTATTGTTTGGCAATCTCTACGCTTAACTGAAACATATCGACTTTTATATATAGTTCATAATATAGAGGTTATAATGTCTTACAAATCCTTGTTTTATCATTTTGTCCTCTGTCATTCCAACGGTGGCCAATATTAGATTGTCAAAATCATAGCTGCTGGTAAAGCACAGTAAGGCGCCCGTCTTAAGATTTCGTAGGTATTGTTGTTCTACCCGTCCTGCCGAATTCGATTTCCATAGTTCGTTTTTTTCTTGCCGTTCTGATGGGCGTATATCTAGAAAAATCAGGCTATTCCGCTCCGCTTCGGCAAATTCGGGGTTCAGGTTGAGCTGTGTGTGCGGCCAAACCAGATTTTGTTCCACCAAAGCATCGATATTCTGCTTGGAACGCAAACGCTGCACGAGCTCACGCAATGGCTGCACAAAATCATCGCAGAGCAGCTGACGTTGGTAATTTATGTAGCCAGCCACGTCATCGGAGGCGACGGCAGGTACAGCATCCCCTGCTTCAGCTCGCAGTAATTGCTCCAGCTTGGGATATATTTCGTTTTTGACATGTGTACTGGCGGGCAGCACATCCAGCTCTCGGCTGAATTCAACGCACAGCGGATGGTTCAAGAGCTGAGGCAGCTGACAGCGGGAGATCAGCGTCTTAAAATGCTCGATTAGCTCATATCCAGACGGTTGCAGCACGCCCAGCTTGTGGGCACGTATGAGCAAACACTTTATGCCGCGCAACAACGACTCGGAGTCGGCATCTAATTGGCCCTTGGAAGGCGGCGCAAAGAGTTTCACAGCAAAGCGCTTGATGTGATTCAGGAGCACCGTTTGCCTGGCGAAACCGGACAGTATCTGCCAATCGAAACCGCCCAATTCCAATTGGCACAGCACCGTCAGCACTTCCACATACTGCATCACACGTTTTGGGGAATCGCTGTCCGTCAGCTGATCCTGGAAGAGATCACGCGGCGCGGCCATTAAGTAGAGAAACATTTCCAGCGGCGTCATTTTCAGTGCCTTTGCAAAGTCGGCAGTGGCAAAGCGACTCGGACTTTTCGTATCCTCAGTAACCCTAAGTTGCTTGAGATAATCATCTACATTTGTTATTGGAAATTGCATTCTATAATCAAAACTCGCACATTATTCGCTTACCAGCTCGGCTGCAAAAGTCAATGCGTTCCTCGTGTGTCTCAATTGCCACTTGTTGCTTCACGTGTTGCTGCAGATTTTGCACCAGCTCATCCTCATCCTTATTGAACCAATCATCATCCGAGTCCGACATGGTGAAATTCTTTGCGTTTGCGCTGCGTACATTAAATGGAAGTCCCGTTCTATAAATGCATGGTTAGAGTTGCCAAACGTCTTTGCTTTGGTTAGATAATAGAGATGTGCAAGATTTTAGTACTAGTGACTGAAGGGAAGTATTTTTCGAGTAGTTGATGCGAGCGATAGTCGCTTTTAAGAATTCACTTTTCTACTGAATTTTGTCATTTTATTTAATAGCAGTTCTTGAACTTCCACTCAATCTAAGAAATTAAGTTTTTAAATCAACTGCAGATTTGATCTTGTATTTACAAATATAATAATTCTTCGCACCGATTTGGCCAAAAGCAATATTTTGCCTCATTCGCAACTTGGTCACACTTTTCGTTATTTGTGACGATCTTTCGATTTGTGCGCGAAATAAATAGGTTACATATTGATAAACTTTTGTATTTAAAAATTGTTTATTATATAGTATAATACGGCAACTGAAAGCTGAAGAGCGCACATCATTCAGCCAGTTCACGTGTCAAGTAATAAAACCAAATATATATATTTTTTGGCAGCTCATAAATAATATTTACTTCTGATATCATCATGCGCTTCTCTATGCCGTTTCTTAATAGGGGAATACCAGAATATTTATACTATCGGAAACATTATGGTTGAACTTTTCGGCGAAGATTACGACTGTTGGGAATGGTTTCAGGCTGATAAAGAGAAAATCCTGCGCAGCTTAACGCGCAAAAAAGCTACCGATGGGCGTCAGTTGCAGATAAACAGGCGATATAACTACTGGAATCGTGCCAAGGCGGCGGCGCCATCTAAAATTCCCACCGACGGTCTGCAGGAGATCTTTAATCTACAGCCTTTGGGCATGTTTCTTTACCTGGCCACCGAAATTGAACCGAACTTTTTTGTCGATCAAATCGGGCCCCACGACGATTTGGAGCGCGTGCTAATCTATACGCGCATCCTGGTCACTTTATGTGAACTGGAGCTGCCTGGCTTTCACTATGATATGCTGAGCAAGTTTGCGGCGTGCACGCCGCTCATCGAGCACTATGAGGAGCTGGTGCGAAAACTGTGCACCAAAAGCTTCCGCACCATGTGGACCGACATGAAGCGCGTCGATTGCATCATTAGCCATATGCAGACGCTGTTGTTGCAGGCTCAGCGCGCTGGCGTCATGGACAAAAATGGCATGCAGATACTATTCAATATTTGGACACACTTGAAGAACAACCAGAACCCGACCATAGAAGAGCGTCCGATCTGCATGGAGTTTCTGCATCAGTTGCACGGTCTGTTTAGTGTTGATCTGGATGTGTTGGCTGAACCAAATCCTGCCGCCGAGGTAAACGCTTCATTTCCATTTATTTTTAGCAATGTCGAATTCAAATGGTTTTCAGTTATATCCCAGCCTGGAGGAGCTCAGGCTGTGGCTCAAGCAGCACGAGGATGCCTATCTCCATGCCCCAAAGCTAACGATCAGCTACATAAGCACCACGCAGTACATAAATAGCCAACGCTTGTTTTTGCGTCAGCAGTTTTTGCTGCCGCTGCGCGAATTGGTGCGCGCTCTGCATCGAAAGCGCAGCCTGCAGAACGTGACGCCGCTCCAATTGGCCTATGAGGAGGTGCAGATCAAGCTGAATATGCACTTTCCGGATGCTCACAGTAGCAAGCTGCTGTTTGTTGATCTTTTGGCTGCGCAGCGCAAATCGGCAGCCGATCACGATATCCAATTGGGTAACTCGGAAGAGGAGTCTCTGCTAAAGCTCAAAACTGGTGCACTTCTCTGTTTCAGCACAAGCTACGATTTCGACAATCTAATACTGGCCACGGTGGCTGGCACGGATATAAAGCAGCTGCGTCGCGGTTACGTGAGTGTACATTAAATTAAACTA